TCCTGATTCAAGCCACAGTGACTTCCCAATGCCTGTGGAGTTGGTTCCAGAATCTCTTACACTAACCACTGCTGGATTTGGAGATTAGTAATTACCAAGGGCTACTTCATCACTACACACACACACAAACACACACACACACACACACACACACACACACACACACACACACACACACATGCATGCCACCACACCACACATATACACAGATATATACACACACGTACTTCTCATATACACATACCTGTGGGAACATACACGCATGCACACACATATACCATACACTTTAACTTTTTTGTGAGAGTAAGGCTTGGACTCAAGGCCTCGTGCTAGCTAGGCAGATGCACCACACAGCCCATCCTTTTATTTTTAATATGTTTATCCTATACAGTTTAATGCTTTTGCCTCTGCTGACTTTGGACTATGTTCTTTCTACAGTACCAACTTTCTCAGATTCTGCTTGAGTGGCATCACATGGTATTGGTTTTTTTCTTCTTGGCTTTTCTGACCTAATATAATCACCTTCACGTTTATGCATGTTGTTGTAAATGGCAATGTTCCCTTCATTTTGATGGCTGAATGGTCCATCTATATATGTAAATGTCATCTCACACCCATTGAAATGTCTTATTATCAAAAGGTCAGAAAGATAACAAGTGCGGGTGAGAATATGGGAAAAAGGAAATTCTTGCACACTATGGGTGAAAATGTGTGTGTATATTACATTTATGTGTGTGTATTTTTTAAATCCAATTTAGCCAATAATGGACTTTTGGCTGTTATGAATAATGCTACAGTAAACATGAGAGAGTTCACATGTCGTTGCCATATTGAGTTCATGTAATTTGGCTATCTATCTACCTATCTACCTACCTACCTACCTATCTATCTCTGTCTATCCCCAGTAATGAGATTGGTGAGTCATATGGTGGTTATATTCATCATTTTTTCAGGAACATTCCATATCATCTGCTCATTCTCAGTCCTGGTATATATGAATTCCAGTATACAAAAATTTCTTTTTTTTTTCACACAGTCACCAGAACTTGTCTTTCTGACCTTTTGATAATAAGCTGACCTGACAGGTATGAGAGGACATTTCATTATGACTTTAATTTGTATTTTCCTGATGATTAATGATGAGCAATTTTTCATATACTTGTTAGTTATTTATGTGTCTTATTTTGAGAAGTATTTATGGGGATCCTTTGCTCATGAAAGAACTATCATGAGTTAATTTTAGAAATTAATGTCATCAGTGTTATATTTCTTTACCTGCATGTAGTGATACTGTATATTGATAAAATCTAATCACAAATCTTCTATCCCATTGCCTCTATCTTTATACACTTCCCAGCTCCTGATAGTCACTACTCTACTTTTAGCTTCATTATTATTATTGTTATTATTTTTATTTATTTATTTTTTTTGGTCTGTCATGGGGCTTGAACTCTGGGCTTGGACGCTGTCTCTGTGCTCTTCAGCTCAAGGCTAGCACTCTATCACTTGAGCCACAGAGCCACTTCCGGTTTTCTGGGGGTTAATTGGAGATAAGAGTCTCACGGACTTTCATTCTTGGGCTGGCTTTGAACTGTAATCCTCAGATCTCAAGCCTCCTGAGTAGCTAGGATTACAGGCAGAAGCCACCAGCGCCCGGCTGAGTTTCATTATTTTTTAGCTTCCACATTGAAGTTAATGAAGACTTTTTGGTTAAACTATGTTGGTTAGGTTGTCTTCTACATACAAGTACCTGAAACTATTACCCACCAGTCATTCCTCAGACTGTAGTACTTGTCAGTAAGTATGGATGTTTTACAAGTCAGACTCAATTGTAACTACAGCTTGCTTAATTTCAGAGCTCTGGTTCATTCCTCTGTGCCAGGCTTTCTTGTTATCCAGAAGAATTAATGCTGGACCTCAGGTCTCTACATTATAATCAAGGGCTTCTTTGGATATTAATGGACTCTGACTCATGCAGTTAAGATACAGGTGACCAAATTGCCTTATTCTAAGGAATTAAATTCAGTACTTAATAAACAGATGAAAGAGGATTCCTTTAATAGCAAACTTCATGTCTCACTATTCAGCTCCAGCTCTTCAGAAGGACCTTACACCGACAATAATGATACTAGAAAGAGAAATGATAATGTCCTAAGTATCTTAAAGCATTTTGATAACAAATGAACCATTTCATTAAACAGTATTATCTCTGCAGTGTATTTTCTGCCTAAGGTCAAGATAAAAGAACTCCCATGGAACTTGTAGAAAGTTTTGTTATTTAAAGTTGGTTTATATGGTTATAACTTGCAGATTGTTCACAGACAGAGACATCAGAAATGTGTGGTCTGGTTTCTTCACTTTATATGTAGTGAATCCAGATGATGTTCCTAAGATCATATACGGGCATAGATCCATGGAAAATGAGTTTGTTGCTGTATTTACAGAACTTGGCACAGTTTCTGACACATGATAAAGCCCAGAAAACCGATGTTGACACATCGGACAGAATAAGTTTCATACAAGTACTTAATGGTAGCAATCTCTAGTCTCCTGGGAGCCTGTTCCATTGTTGTTCTTGAAATCAGTTAAAGTTTTATCATAATTCATCCTAATTTTCAAGGCAAGAGTCCCAAGTATCCAAATGACCAGTAAAAGGCTGGGAAGGTGGCTTAGTGGTAGAGTGCTTGCCTAGCATGCACGAAACCCTGGGCTCAATTCCTCAGTACTAGATACACAGAAAAAGCTGGAAGTGGTGCTATGGCTCAAGTGGTAGAGTACTAGCCTTGAGCAAAAGAAGCTCAGGGATGGTGTACAGGCCCTGGGTCCAAACCCCAGGACTGGCAAAAAAAATCCAAAGGACCAGTTAGAACAGTGTTCAGCCTTTCCCGTATGTCAAAGGCTGATCTCAAGGGGCTTTAGGCTCCTCTGTCCATAATCTTTAAGTCAGGAGACTTCTGTCTCTCTACCACAGAATATAGAGAAAAAGTAAAGGAGTCATATGTAGTCTCTCTGTCTGTCTTCTTGGTCAGATGAAGAGGGTAGGAGTTGAGTTCCCATCAGGCACCTCATAGCAAAGCACTAGAAATACTCAACTCACTTGATCACCATCTGAGACCTCTTCTTGGCTTTCTGGACAACTTTTAGAGAAATTCCTTTAAGTGGGCCTTGAGAATTGTGGAATTGCTATTCAAACTTTCTTTTTTTACTTCCCACCAAGACAGATGGGATTAAAAGCAAGTGACAATTACATAATAATCTTCCGATGTGATAAATGTCAACATGTTGCTCATCAAAGGTAGGATTCTGACACTATGAGCACATGATTTCTGCTGATGGAAAGGTATTGAAAAGACTTGGAAGATTGCTAGCTTCATTTTCTTTTCATGACAATAATAATTTGGTAGTTTTCATAGATTCTTTGATTCAGGAAGCATTCTTTGGCAGAATTTTCTGGACCTACTCCATCATCTAAGCTATGTAGCTTAGGGCTGAGGCAGTGGTCTAATGTAGGGCTAGGAAACTTAGCCAGATAATGCATAGAATTAAATTACATATAGCGTTAAAAGTGAGAAGAGGTTTCAAGAGTGGTTTTGTTTCCTGATCCTCAAATTATTTTTTTTTAGAATAAAAAATTGTGTCCAGACAAGTTAAGAACACAAAATTTTAGCTTTGATAAATCCTAATTCCCAGAATGCGTTCCCCTCACCATCCATCTCCTTTGCACACGAGTCTGCCCTTGTGGGCTCTTGCTGCTCCTTTAGTGTTTCGCCAGCTGAAGCATACTCATTTGAGTCCAGAGTCCTGCAGTTCACCAACAATATTCTACTTGGAAGGTCTGTTAAATGACTACTACTTCTGTTACTTAACTTACACTTAGAGGTCATACACTCCTTCAGATGCTCATCAAATCATTCTTCCAAAAAAAAAAAAACAAAAACAAAAAGAATATTTTCTCAAGGGATTTCTATGCCCGATTTGGGGAGAATCTAACATATTACTTTCTTGAGCCCATTTCCTTCAGGAAAATAGAGCTAGCTATGGAAATCTTTTACTATTACCCAAGGGGAACTGTTCAGGAAGTTCCATGCTGTGGAGCTTCAGGTTAACCACAGGGATCTTTCCAATGACGTTTGCCTGGTGTGCTCTGAGTCCACCTGAAGAGCCCCCTGTCTCTCTGAAGGCAGTGGTTTTCAAGTCTTGTAGTCTACTGGCCTTATGAGAGGAGTTTACAAAATACTAGGTTATGCCTTAGGCAAATCAAGTCTGATCATTTCAGGTGCCAATCAAGTAAACACTATCTATCTATCTACCTATCTATCTATCTACCTATCTATCTATCTGTCTGTCTGTCTAGGTACATACTCACCTACCTATCCACCTACCTACAGAATGTCAGGATGAAGGCTTTTCTGCCCTTGGATTTGTCTGCCACCTCCTATAGCACTCTAGGCCTCACTAAATGCCATCACAGCAGTCATGATCTCTGCATACGTCCATCCTGAAAGCTCTCCACTATACCTAAAGTCTAAAGTCTGCTCGTGTTTCCGGAAACAAATTAGACAGCTCTATTCTGGAAGCTTCTCCATCATGTCTGATGGAGTTAGCTGTTCCTCTGTGCTGCCACCAAAGCACCTCTATTTCATTCCTCATCATGTTTGCTGTATTATATTTAGACTGTTCATGTCCCCCTCTCCTGTTCCATCACCCTCACTGAAGGCCATGACTATGATCATCTTGTTCCTTAATGTACCCCCACAAGGACACTTATAGTTAAAATGTGTTGCACAGATAATTGAAAGTGAAATGCAATTGGAAAATAAGGAATCTGGCCAGCCACTAGTTTACTTGAGGGAACCAATAGGCAAGTAGTTTTTGTGAAATAAGTCAAAGGCCTTTCATACCAGTCCACAAGTTACTGCGCAGTACAGATGGGGCTATGTGCCTTTCTCCTCACAGACATTGAAGATTCTGGCCTTATGGAGGAGGAGATCACAAATTACCTGATGGTTTTGATCATGCTGAGACCCATTTCAACACAGCAATGGGCATGGTCCTGGCGGGGCTCTGGAAGTCCAGACACGCAGTAGTAGCAGTCCCCCAGGATTTTAATGCGAAGGCAATGATGCTCCTGGAAGGAACAGAGGGGGAAAAGACTGTGTCAGCAGGAGAAGGCTGTGTCTTCAGAAAGCTTAGGGAAAGATGCAAGAAGGGTCAGAGGTCCTGTACAATGGAGTGTCAGATGTGTTCACCTTTAAAATGCACTTCTAGTCTTTCTATAGTTTGGGCCTGAAATAGCCCCCAAAGGTCTAGCTATTAAAGGTAGGTCCCCAGCTTGGTGCTTCTGTGAGGTGCTGGAAACTCCAAGAGGCAGGGCCTGCTTGGAAGTCTTCCAGTCGTTGGGGGCTGTGCCACTGAAGAGGAGCTTGGGACCCCATACCTTCTTCTCATTCCCTGCTTCCCAGCCACCAAGGGTTTAGCAGTTTGCTTCATTATGCCTCCCTGCCACATTGTGCTGCCTTGCCAAAAGTAATGACACCAATCAATCACAGTCTGAAACCTCCAAACAAACAAACCTTTCATCATTATAACTGTCTCAGATAGGTATGTTATAGTGAGGGTATGCTGGCCAAACCAATTCTTTGGGCGAATGGTTAGGACTGAATGATTCAGAAGATACTTTCTAAATCAAGTCAGAGTGAAATATGACTTTCTCAGGATTATGATTTTCTCAGGAAAACAGAGCCCAATCAATTGTTACTCCTAAATTGCATGCTGAAAAGTACTGGCTTAATTTCCTAATTTTGAAAACAAATGCATAAAATCATCCTTCCATAAAAAATAACTACCAGACAGGGAAAAGTGAATTTGGACACAGTCTGGTGCCTCCTGGTCTGGGTCAGGTTTGGGGGACTTTGCCAAGCTCCCCAAAGGAGCACAGAAGTGTTGAGCAGGACTTCGTAGCAGGCCCAACCTTCTCAGGCCTCTAGGACATTAAGGTTCTTCAAGATGATGAAAATCTGGTTGGTAAGGCAAGTCAAGGCCTCCCATTTCTGTTTTTTTTTAAATACAACTTTATTGGTATTAGGTGTTGTACAGAGGGGTTGCCATTTCATAAGTCAGGTAATGAGTACATTTCTTTCTTTTGGACAACGTCACTCCTCTCTTCACTTTCTCCCAGTTTTCTCCAAGCCTTCCATTTTCTTGTAAGATCCCTAGAATGTCATGGCCCGAATGGAATTCAGAGATTACCTTGTTCACTGGTGTAGCAGTAGATTTGTGGAGTCTATGGGACCATTATGTTCTTAAAAAATAATTGTAGGGGGCTGGGAAGGTGGCTCAGTGGTAGAGTGCTTGCCTTGAGCTGAAAAGCTGAGGGATCAGCACCCAGGCCCAGAGTTCAGGCCCCATGACCACCCCCTCCCCCTGAAGAAAAACTGAAGGGCTTTAAGGACCATCACGGGTATATAATATATATAGGGAGTATTATTAGCCCATCACTGCATGCCTCATGGCAAGGGCACTCTTAAAACCAAAAACATAGCAAGATATATTCTTCGAATAAAGGATATTCTTTACCTAAATAAGTTCAACATTATAAAACAATCACTAGGTAAATAGACCATTTATGAAGAAGCATATCAAAATGAACTTCAAGAATTGGAAACAAGAGATTCTTATTATGTCCTGTATGCACCTACTTCTGTTTTGTTTCTTTCTGTTTTAGTTTTCTGTACTCTTTGTCTTGTATGTAAGCTTATCTGATCCATGGAAGGGAGAGCAAATCACAGAAACAGCAGGACAAAGGATGAACTAATGCAACAATGATGCTTACTAGACACATATTAGAAATGAACTTTACAACTTGCAGGGGGAGTGGAATAGGGAGTGGTAAGCAGGAGAAAATGAGGGGAGGCGGGTAACAGTGTTTAAAAAGAAATGTACTCACTCATTCTCTGACTTTTGTAACTCTAATCCTTCTGTTCATCACCTTTCAATAAGTAAAAAAATATAAAGACAAATTTCTCCTATCATGGTCAACTTCTGTGTTCAATTTACGCTCAAAAGTAGAAAAAGTCCCCAATTTTGTTTACGTGAGTTTGAGGACTAGTGTTCTAACCCTTTACTCTGAGGTTGGCAGGTCAGGGCACCGAGGCTGGAAGGCACAGGCTGAGTTCCTCTGCAAATTGTTGTTGAAGGCAGAGCCTGGTGTGAGTGACGTGGGCTGATGGCTGTCTGGCGCTGTCACACTGGGGAGCACAGATAGACCTCCCTGTTATGTCAGAGGAGAAAGGACGGAAAGGGCGCTAGCACAAAATGCTTTGGTCTAAAGATCAAGCATCTGATTAAATTTACTAATTGGGTGACCTTGTCTAAGCCCCTAAAACCATTGCTATGTTGCGATTTTTCTGTATGTCACAAGTGCCAAATATCCCACTTAGTTAATCCATAACAGAGTAAGCACGCATGGATGTCATTTAGCAGTGACAATGACAACTGACACTTGGAAAGCAGCCCTGTTTTCCACGTGCTGCTCCTTATCTTTTTTTCTTGGAGCATCAAATTACAGCATTGAACCTTCAGGAACAGTAGCTATCAGACCTATTTTATGGATATGTAAATCTTACTATGAGAGGATGAAAATACTTCACAGGCCTCAGCCAAGCCAGCTCAACTCACACAAATCTAAGTGGGAGAAAAAGCTGACGGGACTGAGCACTATCAAGTGCCAGGGGGGTGTGAAATGTATCCCATTTTCTTTGTGTCCTCTTCCAACCACCTCCTATGCCATGTGACATTTTAGGGCCGAGGAGCTGCAGGTGTCAGAAGGTGAAGGCCGAAGTGCAAGTGAGAGGCAGAAGTGGAATCAGACCTATGTCTGTCTGATTTGGGGGCTCCGCACTCAGACTTTTCTAGACTGTAAGAATGATAACAAAGTCCAAAATGGCAGAGCTCCTGACAAAAACATGCTATGCAAGGAGACTCTATCAAATAATTTATTACCCTTCTGGGTAGACACTGAGCAATGATGTGAAAATGTTTGTGTCAAGTATTCATTTTCCTTGTCAATGAAAGATTAAGCTGGTGGTTGTGGTAAAAATGTATGCTCTAAAAAATGGGACTGTCTAGCATCTATTTATCTATACTGCACTTAGGTACATTTCACATATTAAACAATATATTTTGGATATAAAATAAAATGTATTACAATATATTTCATATACAAACATATAGAAATATATAAATAATCACCTCTCTCCTTTTCTTTCTCTTTCTCCCTATCTGTAGGAGAAAGGCCTTGCTTCTTTTCTACCAAGTTCTGTCAATTTGCAGACACATTCTTCTTACAATGTCTTCTAAATTGTCAAATGACTTAACAAAATTTTTCAATTAACTTTCTACCACAGACTGTTTCAGCACGATCACATGTAAGAAACAAGATTACTTTGGAAAAAGATATTTTAAAAATAAACTAAGTTATACTATCAAAGTTGGTCTTATATTAATCTTTTTTTCTGATCTTGATGGCTCTGATAGTATAAATATTGTATGGAAAAATCCAAAAAGTACATTTAAATAAGGATACAGGTGGACCCATTGCAACAATGAAACAATGAGATGTACAAGTCCTTATATCGAAAATGAACTTTACAAATTTGGGAGGGGGAGGGTGGGTGGGAGATGGGAAGGGATGGGAAGGGGAAACAAAGGAGGAGGCAACAATGTTCGATAAGAAATGTACTCATTATCTTGCCCATGTAATTGTAACCCCTCTGTACAGTATTTTCACAATTAAAAAAAAGAAAGTAAGTAAAATTAGAAGATTTATGCACCAATTTATCAAAGATCGCCATATTTGGGGATAGGTTGGAATTACAAGGGTATATAATTTCTATGTTATGCCTTAAATGTGTCAATTTTCATTTATTTTATTTTTAAATGTTTTTATTGTAAAAATGCTGTACAGAGGGGTTATAGTTTCCTAAGTAGGGTAATGAGTACATTTCCTATGGAACACTGTTACCTCCTCTTTTGTTTTTCCCCTGCCCACCCGTCCCTTCCCCCCCCCCCCCAAATCCTCCTTCCCCACCAAGTTGTAAAGTTCATTTGCAACATAGTGCCTTGTACATCTCATTGTCACAATGGGTCAACCTGTATCCCTTTTGTCCCTTCCCTCCCCAAATTAGAAATGTGTGTGTATATATATATATATATATATATATATATATGTATGTATGTATATATATATATATATATGTATACATATATATATATATATATATATATCCACAAGATGCAGGGCAGCAGAATCAAATACAGTGAAAATAAGTAGTATATGCCTAGGACAAGCAGAAAAGGTTAAAAGCAATGTACATATGACCAGATAAGATGATATTAAGCTAAATGAATCCCTAGACAAGGATACAAGTGGTGTTTTTCTTTCTTGCTATTGTTTTTAACATATTTATAATGTACTATGGGATTTTTTTGGGGGGGTCCGGTTGTGGGGCCTGAAATCTTGGCCTGGGTGCTGTCCCTCAGCTCTTCAGCTCAAGGCTAGCGCTCTACCACTTGAGCCACAACGCCACTTCTGGCTTTTTTCTTTTTGTTTATGTGGTGCTGAGGAATCGAACCCAGGGCCTCATGCATGCAAGGCAAGCACTCTACCGCTGAGCCACCTTCCCAGCCCCAATACGGGATTTTTTTTTTTGTTTCTTTGGTATATTCCTCCCCCATGGTATAACCCCTATTTTCACTGTAAATGTGTCAATTTTATAATGAATGTTTGTTCATTTAATAAGCAGAAGAACATCAGTAAGGAAATGTTCTCAAAGCACAAACATCAATACCACCAATGTACTAAAAAAGAGGTTTAAAATCAACAAATCTTGTAGTATGTTATCTAATTGGAATCATACAAGTAATACATGACTACATTTTTCTAGTAAGACTTAAACTTTAAACAGGGTTAAAATCTCCTTGAGCAGCAGACAAACAGTGGCCCTGAGGCCCAGTCTCTTGCTTGCTTCTCCCAGGCTTCTGTGCAGTCATAGTGTGCAGCACAGTGTTATGTTACATGCTTGTTGCCTATGCTGCTCTACACCATGCTTATAGGCATCCAACAGACTACTTCTGCAGGAATATGTCATGAAATCTTTCCATAGCTGTACATGGGAATGTGGTCTCATGTTTGTTAGTCTCTTGATCAGCTTTCCGTAAGTTGTCCTTGGATTTTAACGATGCAGTGAATAAATGGTAGTGTATATGCCATTTACATGTGAGGTGGGTTCTCTGATCTCTGTCATTGAAATCTAGAACAAAACTTTAAATAAATGCAATGAGGAAGGATTACAGAACCACAGGACATTATTGGCAAAAGACATCCCCCCAAGGCAAGTCCAGTTTCCTTGTGTGAAGAGAGCCTCTAAGATCACTGATTACAAATACTCAATCAAGACTGGTTGAATAATTTGGATCAAATTTTACTTTACTACTTTTTCTCTGAGTCAGTGAGATTTCCTGAGAAAACTGACCTTAATCACATCTTTTATTTCTCATTCGTGGGCTATTTTTATCTTTGAATTTTTGAGCAAGACTCTGCAGAACTGTGATACAAAGGGAAAGGGCTCTAAGCAACGGACACCAACCAGCGATCTTCAATGATGTCATGTAAACGGAGATGCTTGCCTGATTTCCCACAATGCTCAGTTCCAGGTAAATCTCACCCTCCTGTTTGGAGGACACCTCAGTGTCCACCTCCTCCTGTCCCTGTCACCTCCTGTCCCTGTCACCTGTTTGCTCTCTGCTGGTTGCCCAGTAGCTACAATTTACAGTTCAGCTTCCGTGCCACATCCCTGTCTGCCTGTGCCTCATCACCACTTCCTACCTTGATTTTTCTCTCTAACAATCCCTCTGCTCTGCAGATACACAGAGTCACATCTATATTCTTGTTTTCCCTTCTATATAAATAGGCTCTCATGGTTTCTTTGACTTGCTAATTAGTGTAGGATATACACTGATTTTTGACCCTTGACCAATGCATGCCATTGTGCAATGACCGGAACTGAGATACAAAGCAACCATGCCACTCCCAAGCTTCCCAAGCCCATGCATCTTCACTAGCCATTTCCCATTCCCGTCCCAGGCCTCCTTGCAACTTCCTACCTGGTTTTTCTTGTAATTTGTCTTTGTAATTTTGCTTTATAGGATGACTTATGTATAGAGTCAAAATATATGTGTGTGTTAGTACTGGGGTTTGAAGTGATAGTCTGGGCACTGTACCTTAGCTTTTACACTCAAGGCTGTTGCTCTACCACTTGAGCCACAGCTCCACTTCTGGATTTTGGATGGTTAATTGAGATAAGAAATTTTTTTTTCTGATGGAGGCATAGAATTCCACTGTGTATATATACTACATTTTCTTGATCCATTCATCTACTGAAGGGCATCTGAGTTGGTTCCATATCTTAGCTATGGTAAATAATGCTGCAATAAACTTAGTTGTGCTGGTAGCTTTAGTATGATCTTGCTTGTGATCATTTGGGTAAATGCCCAAAAGTGGGATTGCTGGGTCATAGGAGAGCTCTATGTGGAGTCTTTTGAGGATGGAGGGGAAGGGAAAAAACAAATTGTTTAGATAGGGATACAGGTGGACCCATTGCAACAACGAGATGTACAAGACATTTATGTTGAAAAACGAACTTTACAATTTTGGCCGGGGGTGGGCTGGAGGTGGGAAGGGGGAAGGGGGGGGTGGATGGGAAGGGATGGGAAGGGGAAATAAAGGAGGAGGCAACAATGCTTGATAAGAAATGTACTCATTACCTTGTCCATGTAATTGTAACCCCTCTGTACGGTATTTTCACAATAAAAAAATTCTTACAGACTTTTGTGCTCACGCTTGCTTTGAACTGTGATCTTTAGATCTCAGCCTCTTGAGTAGCTAGGATTACAGATGTGAGCCACAGTGCCCAGCCCAACATATCTAGTTATTATGCCTCACATCTTTCAGTTGGCATCGTTGCATTTGGGTTCATTGATGTTGGATACATCAGCAGATCATTCATTCCTTGCTGAATGGTATCCGGTTGCATTCATTTATCACATTTTTAAGAATCAGCTTGAGTCACTTGCTCTAAGAAGTCTTCTGTGATGAATGGCTGTGTTGTTTTCTCTGGGGCCCCAGACTTACCTTCTGGGCTACTACTATCCATGAGTGTATCCCTGGTCACACTTAACTTTAGAAAGGAGGACATGTGCTATCATTCTCATATACCAACATGGAGCATCAGGAGCAATATGTACTAGGTGCTCAGCTTCAAGCATGAATAGATCTCCCTTGGTATGAGGTTGCTTTAAAATTCAACTTACCTGATACACTTGATACAGTCTTACTTATTCTCACTACAACCTATGAAGTTGGCACTACTATCTATTTTCTACTTAGGTCATTCCTATTTCAACCCCAAGTCCCTACTAAAACACGGTGTGACCTGCTATCCATTCCTCCTGTAGCTTGAGTGGCTACAAGAATACAACTCTGTATTTCAATAGCAAATGCCTGTGTCCTTTCATCTGCCCTCCGGCTGAGTTCTCATCAAGTAAAGTTAGTTCAAGTAAGACAGCAGTGGGATGGGCCAGCAGAGTTCTGGTTCCTACATGCAGGCGAATTCTTTGCAGATGGCCAGGCTTGGCTAGGAAATTACATACCGCCATCGCTCTGTGTGTGTGTGTGTGTGTGTGTGTGTGTGTGTGTGTGTGTGTGTGTGTGAGTCCCAGGAGCACCAAGCTTGCAGCTGGATGGCATCTGTCCCCATGCAGGGGGAAATAATGATAGGCCAGTGGAAAGCAGATTGAAAAGGCTGGTTTGACTGCCACACAACCAGCTGTCTCTCACTTGGGAAGATTAATCTGACCAATATCCCACCTGAGACAGAAAGAACGGACATCAGCCCCCTAAATGTGAGAGGGTCGGGGGTGGGGGAATCTATGATTAAGGACAGGATGCAGGATGCAAACAGCATCGATAATGAAGACTATCTCTTTTCCCTTTCTAATTGACATGCAGCCCCTCACTTCTGCCAAAGACCAGGAGGGAATTAAATTCGACTCACATGGGCCAGTCGATCAAATCTGGCAAAGAGCTCGTTGAGCATCCTGACCAGCTCCTGAGCGGACAAGGTCGTAGAGAGGTTGGTAAATCCTTTAACATCTGCAAAAAGAATACTAAACAACAGGGAAAAGGGTAGGGGTGGGAGAAAGCATATTAATATTTCGATCCATTCTGGGAGACACATCAACTCCATTCAAGTAAAAATCAACTGATTCTGTTGTCTGAGATTTAAACATTCTCTGTCTTTAGGGTCCGGAGGGATGTCTCAGTGTTATAACAAGTAGTTCAGCAGGGAATCCAGAAATCAGACAGGACAAAAGGACAACTGAAAGCTGGTCTTCCTGTGCAAGACCATGAGTGTAGGTAATACGAGCCACTCCTAAGGGCACTGAACAGATCGATTTGTTGTGAAAGGAAGCTGAAACTATGAATGATCTGTTCATTCTCCCAATCAGTGCAGATGCTGGGAACTGACACACAGACTCCAAGGTTGAGGGAGAACATTGCAAGCGCAGGGACACGTACTGGACATGGCGGGTTGGATCTTTTAGGCTTTCTCAAAAATGCGGAGACCAGGTTGCAAAGCTAAGAGGCATCAGAGTGATGAATTAGTTCCTAAGGATCTCAGTGAGGTGAGGACTTAGGGCTGCATGTGGCTTGGTACCTGGGAAGAGGCAGTTGCCAACAGCCTGGAAAATCTGAACACTGCATGGGCACTATTTTGGTTAATCTGACTGGCAACCCTGTGAGACTAGGATTGCTTGTGGCCATTCACCTTGCCACACCATCCCAGGAAGGTCTGAAAGGAAGGCTGGATGACCATGTTTTGCCTTCTCAGAGACATCATAGGGGTATGTCATGCACCTGTGTCTCTACGCATGCCACATTCACTCCCTGGCATCACTTTGTTTCCTTTTGTGGCCTTTTAAAATCCTCTGTCCTTCATGGCACTACTGATAATGGTGACTGCGCTTTTATCGGGGTTACTCAGGCACGGTCAGGCAACCCCTCCTATAGGTCCTGCCCAACTTGTGCCCACCTGCCATGGTTTTTCACAGTAGATAAGCCACAGAGACTCAGTGGGCTCCATCTATTAGTAAAAGAACATTGCAAATATCACTTCTGGGTTCACCTGTCCAGTCAGCTCATCGCTGGACACATTACATATTTTCTCAATATACTCAACAAATCAATCAATCAATCCTCCTTCCTCAGAATATAGTGATTGTGAGCACTGCTGGGGTGCAAGGCTATCACCAGGCCCACATTACCAGCATCTGCGTCAGCAAGAGCGCCAGGGGACTGCAGAGCACTCTGGAGACTGAGAAGCATGAGGGGAAGACACAGCTGTGTAACAGTGGTTTGGTGACTTCAAGACAGAGGCAGAGCCCAGGGCTCTGTTCTCATGTTATTGCTCATTCTCCTTCCCCTAAGTGCTGGGCTCAAGGTTATCAGCATAACCTTGAAGCCTTCTGAGAAGGATAGAAGGAAGGAAATGCATGGCGTATCATTAAAACTTTGAAATGTACAAGATGCAGCTTTTATGGAAAGTCCATCCAAAGAACCAACGCACAAAGAAACACATAAAGTTAAATTTTAACACAAGACAGAAGGTAGAATGAGCATGGGGTGGGTGAGGGCTTGCTATGAAGAGGATAATGGGGCTGGAAATGATTTCAGAGATACTTGTAACACTCTAGTGGGTTGACTTTGGGGCTAGGGAGGGGTCGTGGCAACCTTAGAGAGGCTGAGAACAGACAGTCCCTCCCCTGTTTTCCTTGTCTCTGGTCTTACTTTAGCACCCAGAATCCATCAGGGCATGGTGGATGTGGGATGGATGCAGGAGAGACCATTCTACTCCTGGTTATCTCCATCTTCCCAACACCATGAAAGCCTCTGGACATGGCATCTCCCTACATGCTGAGCAGCACTGGGGATGCCTGTGGGGGTACTGGAGTAGGGATGGAGTTTGAGGGGGTACAGATTCTTCTCTCCTAGAAACTCTGCCCCTGGCGTGGAGAATGTAGGGCCGGAAGCTATATGTGAATGTGGAGTGGTGCTAACTACTGGAAAAGGATCTCCAATGACTGAAATAAGTGGACAGCGTTGGAGGGTGACAGCAGGCGGCTAATAATCTGGCTTGGACCAGAAGGAGCATAAAAAAGTGACCAGCATAGACCACAAGCCAACCATGGCCTTTACTGAACTTGAAGCTCCTCAGTTGTGAAGCTGTGAGTGCATGGGTTTGTTAACTATGCTTTATTTTTTTCTTTTTAAAGGTAGTTATATTTCCTTTCTTCTTTCTCCATGGAGACAAGCACTTTCATATGCTATAGGAGATATATATATATATATATATATATATATATATATATATATATATATATATATATATATACATGCACACATGCACACACAGATATTTGCACAATTCATATATTTTTATATACTGCTGTGTAGTGCATTTATTTTCTTCCAAAAAATCTATCCGATTTCCACTGTCTCTGGACCAGCGCTGATCCCCAGCCACTTTGCCACCCAGGGAAGTAACACTGAAGACAACTTAGTCTCCACCCAGACCCATGCTCTCCTTCACTGCAGCAAAGCCCTTCATCCAGAATTCATGTATTGCTTTCTCACTTGAATGACCCTACCCTAGAAAAGGCCAGTAAGGGTCATCAGTTCTAGAAAACCTTCTGACCACACACAAAATATCCAGCCCCTAATTGCCTCTTTCTGCTTTTTGTGGTCAGCTAGTTCATTTTGCCTAGAACTTAGTAAAAGCACTCCACAGTGGGTTGATGAACAGGTACTACTATCCTAGACTCAGTATGGATGAGCTCTTATCTTCTGTAGCACTCGGTCCTATCTGAGGGCATCTCGTACTGAAGTTACATTTTATTTTCTCAGCAAAGGCTCTTGGCAAACTCAAGCATCTACATGGAGGGTGCCGCTATGTCGCTAAAGTGCCGCGTCAGAATCATAGTGTTGAAATGCACACATCACTGCCTACAAGACAGACGACACTTGGAGAGTTAGGCTTGCACTTCCTACCAAACATGGGGAAATTTCACCTTAATTGTCTCTCTGTCTCTGTCTCTCTCTCATGCACATACATATTCACATGCGTTTATGTCCTGGTGGCACTGATGTTTAAACTTGGCTTCACTTGCTCCTCCTCTTCTTGGTTCATATGGTGTTCTGCCACCTGAAACAGGTGTTTAACCCTACTTTTTTGCTAGTTATTTTGGAGATGGAGTTTAGTCGACTTTCCTACTTGGTCTGGCCTTGAACCACAGATCTCCAGATCTCATTCTTCTAAGCAGCTGGGATTACAGGTAGGAGCCACTGGTAGCTTGATTCTACCTTATGGTATTTGGTGGGAGAGAAATACAATGATACCATGCAAGCCAAAAATGCCACATTCATGTTTATTAGCACTTCTAGCAAATGACTGGGCTCAGATAATCAGGCATAGTTATCCTGGGCTCTAACTTGATATACAAAGGAGGAGGAGCAAACTGGGGTCCAATAAAAGCTGTAATATGTGGCATGATGGCAGGGGACAGCTCTTGGTAGCAGAGTTGTGAGGTGGGGCGGTGAGGTTCTAATTGGCCTAGTGCCTCGCTTCATTCGAGTCCATGTAAGCGTCTCGCTTCATTCGAGTCCATGTAAGCATCTCCACTCTATTTGAGCTGCCACATAGCTCCTCACTACATTTCGAGTCAGTCATGGTTGGATTATTTTGTATATTACTAAAAAGTATGTCAATACAGTATTCCCTTTTTGTGTTGTTTTAGATATACTTCTGAGGAAAGCTGTGTGTATACTGTAGTCTACAGATTGCATTTTGGGATTCTTTTTCCAATCCTAAATTAAAAGAGCTTGCCTTTCCTACTGAAACTATAACAAGCCTACAGAATGGGTAGAAAGCTGAAAGTCAACAAGGAAATATAACCAGATTCTCTGTCCTTCTCCAGCATCAGTTCAGAAGTGTAGAACTCAGTGATGAAACATCACCACGTAATGAATCAATCAAGCAAATGAAGGAAGGCTTTGGGATCAGGCAGCAGCAGTCCCTGTAGGGAGATACTGGTGGCCAGTGGCTGGCTGGTTACAATGCGACCTGGGCGGGAAGGCTGTGCTTCTCACCTGACGTTCTCGTAGCGATGGATGTAGATCCGGTGAAACTGGTGCTGCAGATGCTCATCCTCCACGTTCGTCATGTCATTGATCATTTCCAGGACTACAAACCGGGGCAGCACAGACAACACCAGCCGCTCCTGGAAGAAACGAGACAGGAAGCCTTGTCAGCCCCCTCTAGTGAGTCCTGGTGGATGTGTGGAAGGCTCTGAACTCTTAGATGAACTTCTTAATGAATTCCTAGCCCAGACCACCTTGTGGACTTGTGAAACATCTGTTGAGTACTTGCCGTTTTTCAAAGTGGGCTGGGTGTGGGGTATCAAATGGTGAATTAATGAATGCGGTTCCTATCGTTGTGAAACGTTACATTCCTTTTTAAATTTTTTTATTATCTTTAAGTAGTTGTACAGCCGGGTGCCGGTGGCTCACGCCTGTAATCCTAGCTACTCAGGAGGCTGAGATCTGAGAATCGTGGTTCAAAGCCAGCCTGGGCAGGAAAGACCGTGAGACTCCTATCTCCAATAAACCACTAGAAAACCGGAAGTGGCGCTGTAGCTCAAGTGGTAGAGCGCTCACCTTGAGCTGAAGAGCTGAGGGACAGCGCCCAGGCCCAGAGTTCAAGCCCCATGACCGACAAAAAAAAAAAAAAAGTAGTTGTACAAAGAAGTTCCTATTCTACAAATAAATATATAAATACAAAGTGTCTGACAACATTGTCACCCATCACTCCTAACCTACCCCTTCTATCACTTCTTTTTAAAATTGTGATTAGGTGATTACACAAATTTCACAGTATTGTGGAGTAGTGATACTTAAAGTCACAAACACATTTTAACCTTCACAAGGCAAAGTGTCATTACCATCATATATAAAGCTTGTGAATTCTATGAGCTTTGACAATACAATTATTTCTTCCACATCAGGTGATACTTATGTTTCTTTCCTTTTGCTGTTCCCTCTTTCCCTCTCATTCCTCCCTTCCCATCCCTGTCTTTGGGTTGCTTAATTAATTTTCATCTATGTCCAGTGTAGCTGATTGGCTCCTCTGTTGTATGTTTTCCCATTTCCCAATGATTCTGTGCCCTCCTCCTAGCATCCCTCCGTTGCATGCACACACACACACACACACACACACACACACACACACACACACACACACACACACATATGCATATCATATATGTGGTCAAGAACATGGAGTCATTTAGCAATGATATGACAAAATGAGTGGAAGTCCTTTGTTTCTCAAGTCCTGTTTACTTTGTCATATCTATTTGCATTTTGGCTTTAGCATCCACATATCAGGGAGAAACTTTACATTCTAATACACAACAGACTACATGTCACAGCCCAGACATACAGATATGCACGTGTGCACACATGCACAGGTGTGCACACACACACACTGAACAAGAGTGACAAGTGGCATGTAAACACAAAACATATTAAAAGGATACAATGGTTAACAGCATAACTTGAATCAGTGATTACCAGTGACATCTCTTTGGAATTAATGGTTAAACTGAGACCTGAAAGTTTGTAATGAGCCACACTTGTATAGGTCAAGAAGCCCAGAAAATGTGAAAAATAGCAAATGTGAATGGCTTGAGGCAGAAATGAGCAATGATGTGACAGGTGGGTATCGATCGGGGATATGGTAACAAGGAAGGACGTGGAGATACATCTTGCAGCCCGTTTGCCTGTAGTTCCAATTATCATGGGAGACCACTAGGTGGTACTAAGCAGAAAGGTGACTCAACAGATCCACATTATATTTTAAACTATGGATTGTGGGGGAGATGTCCACCAGTGGGGAAGTTCCTTCAGTGGTCTTGCTGGGAGTCAGGCTGGAGATACACAGGGCTGGTATCCAATAGAGATGGCAGGAAGGAAAGAGGACAGCCCCTGGGATGTCTGGGTTCTGAGAGTGGCAGCTGTGGCACTGATGTGGCACCGAGAAATATAGGACAGACACTCAGTTTAAGCAGCACTAACTCCTTCTAGAAGATGAGAAGAAATGAGCCACACGTGAGCCCCTGGAAGTGGGACCCCCAAACACCTGGAAGGGCAATCTTCTTTGAGAAAGTAGCTGGTTACTTAGCAACACTAACTAAATCCCAGAACAGGATCCTGTTGCAGTCGCCACAACAGAGTCAGGCTTCTGACACATGGTTTTCTGTGGTGCTGAGCTGAGGTTAAGACAGACATGTTCTAATCACTGCAGATTCTCCCGTCTCTGTAGTTACAGGTGGATCTTAACATTGCCATTAAGAAACAGGTCTCACAGGTTTCACACAAAACTCTGAAAATAGACATGCAGAAATGGCTTTTGCTGTGTGGGACAGATGAGTCTAAACAAGATTAAATGACTCCGTATGATCTGAGCAGAGAGAACAACGCAACCGTGGATCCTGTGAGTCCCTGCTGTGATGCTTCGTGAGATGAGAAAAGCCCTGGGTTTTGAGCCTGTTGGAGCCATTTGGGTCCTACTTCCCACCATTTAATAGAAATGTAGCATTGGGTGAGAGGCATTAACTCTCCCTGCCTTTTCCCCTTAATGTGGCAAGAAACAAAAAATATCTTCTCCTTTGTAGAGTGGTTATGAGACTTCAATGAAATGAGAGGCTCAAGGGACCTGGCATGGTTTCCTCTCTTTCCACTCTCCTCGACTTAATCCTGCTTCTCTTGCAAAGAGCTTTATTAAGGAAGTGCTCACAGAGTGTTGTATTAGATGCTTTTCTCTCTCTCGAAAGCTGTCCCATCCTGGGGCTCAGAGCTGTGTCTTTTGTGCGTGCATCTACAACATGTTCGTTTTGTGACTATCCATGCTATTTGTCTAATTCCCAGATCCTTGTGGCCCTGCGCACTCCAGGGCTGCTGGGTGGCAGAGGGTGCTGAGCAAGGCTATGAGGGTCTCTGGTACCCTGGGGGGGATGTTTATTAAGACACCATTCACAACACTATGAATAGCCAGAGTAAGCAAAGCAGTGAACTGGAGTACGAGGTTCGTGTGCACCTGGGACTCTGTGGTCTGTTTGTAAGGAGTTTAATTGTACATTGTGTTTTCACCCGTGATGCATTAGGGGTGATGTCTAAGAAATGATGTGGCAGGCAGACAGAAAGAACAAAGGGCTTTGCCAGGGGGAGAGCCCCACAGAGCATGGCAAGGTGGTGATGCTGAGCATAAAATAATCTGGGGTGGGGGAGAGAGGCCAGGAAAGGCATCTGTTCCAAGACATGGTTAAGGAGATACCCTTCCCAGAAATCCAAGCCTCTCGATATGCTTGTGGATCTTACACTCTGACCATCCAGCTTCGTAAGAATACAACTGCCCAGGCCTCCTAGACCCACTAAATTGGAGTCTGGGGAGAGGGGTGAAATGAGGGTTCGATGGTGAAGATGGTGGAGACATTTAGGCAGGACTGGGAGCTGCTGGCTGACGGTGAATCAAGTGTATGGCCACTCAGAATTTACTATAATTCATAAAAGGAATCATCAGAGAAGACTGCCTAGCTTTAATAAAACTCACCACCCAGGTTGTAAATAGCAGAGGATTCAGCACAGATTTGCCTGACTTCAAATAGTAGGTCTTCTGCTGTACCAGCCATACTTCCTGCAAAATACAAGCTCGTATCCTCCCAAACTAGCCCCGAGCTCTTTAAAATCACATCCCATTGTTAAGGCCACTGAAGGGTAAATCCTGGGTTGAGAGAGAACTAACTATATCAATGAGGCCCTGGAGTCAGAAAGAAGATGAGGGAGAAATTTCTAAAAGAGGGGGAGGAGATCCAGAAAACTGAATGAGGCATTTGCTTGTTGACTAATTTTTACTCACATATTGCTTCATTTAATATGGTTTAAAAATTATCACATTTAAATAGCTGTATGGAAAGTTGTGCAGATGTTTATTGCCAGGAGGATGTAATAGGTAAAATACTAGAAGGGGAGATTTACTGAGGTGGAGCCTGGCGGTGTCCCCTTGCTAGCTACTTTTTTTTTGGTCAGCTGTGGGGCTTGAACTCTGGGCCTGGGCACTGCCCCTCAGCTCTTCAGCTCAAGGTGAGCACTCTACCACTTGAGCCACAGCGCCACTTACAGTTTTCTGGTGATTTATTGGAGATTAGAGTCTCATGGACTTCCCTGCCCAGGCTGGCTTTGAACCCTGATCCTCAGATCTCAGTCTCCTGAGTAGCTAGGATTACAGGCGTGAGCCACCAGCGCCGGGCCTGCTAGCTACCTTTTGCATAGCACTGAGAATCCTGCTGTTGCTTGGGTACTGCATTGAGGAGCATCATGAATAACTTCACATTCTACTCATTGCTCTGAACAGCAAGGATATCTCATGGTCTCCTAGAAATGAGAGGTAAAGACCCTTCCCACAGTCACACAGCAAGGAAGGGGCTAGTGTTTACTCAGAAGATTCTAGATGAAAGCTTCACTTTACCTTACCAGAGAAATCTGTTTCTACAAAGAAATATATCCCTTGAAGCCTGATTCTCTGAAGTGGAAAATGTGGAAAATTTAATTACCATTGAAATTGCATGAGCGGGCCCATCACTAAACAAACTGTACCTGTAATGCTCAAAGGACCCTTTGCTGAACGCATGAAGCCAACAAAACCCCAAACAAGCACAGGGCACAGTGAAAAAGAACCAGTGACAACAGGCCAGGGATGCTTGGAATTTTTGCCACCACATACTCTGAAAGTTCAAAGCAGTTTTTAAGAAGAAGCTTGACAACTTCAAATGTGTGCCTGAGGTGGGTTTTCCCCTTATGGAACTTAAGACACGGGGACATGGAATCTGTTTGAGTAAAGGATTGTCTCAAAAGCAGCTGACTGAAAGCATCGTGTGCTGTGTTTTCAGTATCAATGATGCAGATTAGTGACATGGAAAGAGATGCAGAACATATTGCTGAACATGTGTGGAAGGATCCCATTCAAGAGCTACTTCCTGAATACTGCATGCCTAGAACCATCCTGGGGCTTGAACTTAGGGCCTGAGCACTGTCTCTGAGCGTTTGTGCTCAAGGCTAATGCTTTGCTACCTGAACTGAAGCTCTGCTTCAGATTCTTTGGTGGTTACCTGAGATAAGAGGCTCACGGACTTTCCTGCCTAGACTGGCTTTGAATCTCAATCCT